ACCACTTCCAATTTGCCTTGATTCATGGACCTAACATTCCAGGTTCCTATGCAATACTGCTCTTTACAGCATCGGACCTTGCATCTATTACCAGTCACATCCACAACTGGGTGTTGTTTTTGCTTTGGCTCCATCCCTTCATTCTTTCTGGAGTTATTTCTCCACTGATCTCCAGTAGCATATTGGGCACCTACCAACCCGGGGAGTTCCTCTTTCAGTATCCCATTATTTTGCCTTTTCATACTGTTCATGGGGTTCTCAAGGCAAGAATACTGAAGTGGTTTGCCATTCCCTTCTCCAGTGGACCACGTTTTGTCAGAACTCTCTACCATGACCTGTCCGTCTTGGGTGGCCCTACCAGTCTGGCCCATAGTTTTCTTGAGCTAGACAAGACTGTGGTCCATGTGATCAGTTTGGTTAGTTTTCTGTGACTGTGGTTTTAACTCTGTCTGCCCTCTAATGGATAAGGATAAGAGGCTTATGGAAGCTTACAGAAGGCATAGGAACATATGCAATTTGTTTAATGTTTTATTTGCCACCCAATGATAAATGGTCAGGAACAGAGTCCCATTTACCCACCTGCCTCTTTCTCTGGCTTGCCCCTTCCCTGACTCCTCGGACTTGTGCAGAACAGCTTGGAGTCCTAAAAGCAGAACTCAGCCTGGTTGTGAAGGACTCAGAGGACCAGGTCTAAAGTCAGCCGTTAAACTGGAACTGGGGCTCTGTGGGCAGAATTCCAAGTACGATTACAGAAGGATTGTGAGAGTTGTCAGATGCTTACCATAAAACCAGAGCGGTCCATCACCCCAGAAGACACAGGAAAGCATTGCCGGGGAAGGTAGAAACAGCCAGGTGTATCTGAAGTGTGTTTTAAAGAAGAGCAATGAATCAGTGACCCTCAGGGCCAAGGTCTCCCTCTGTGGGTGCTGCCGTGGTCTGACATCTCAGATAAGTTAGTAAAGTGAATTCAGGTCAGTTTGGCTCTGAGCAGTAAGCTCAGCTCATATGTACTTGAACTGGCCACACAGACCATAGGCACATCCCTCTCTACCTTGTGTCCTGGTGACAGTGCAGGACCAGGGTCAAGCATCAGCTGCCTCTCATTCCCATCTTCCCTAAGGACCCAAGGCCACTGCTGCCCACTCACACAACACGGACACATCAGTGGTGGCCTGAGGGACGGCCACTCTCAGGCTAACATCTACCACTGCTGTGGGAGCGTGGGCAGGCCGGTGTGCCCCAGGAGGCTGAAACCACACTCGTAGTGTCCATGCCCAGGAGCCGGACATGCCTGGTCCTGGCTTTGCCCTTCTCTGACACCCTCAGCACCACACCACCAGGTGACTGAGGTGCAGGCTCAGGGACAGTGTGTGCAGGAGTCTTTTCCTAGGATTAGGAGCTCCTGAGGTGGAATCCTGGCGTTGGCAGTTACACAGCCGGGCATCCATAGGCAGGTGACTTCCCTTTCCTTCAGTTAGTTCAGTCGCTCAGTTGTGTCCGACTCTCTGTGACCCCATGGACTGCAGCACACCAGGCCTCCCTGTCCCTCACCAACTCCTGGAGCTTACTCAAACTCATGTCCATTGGGTCAGTGATGCCACCCAACCATCTCATCCTCTGTCGTCACCTTCTCCTCCTGCCCTCAATCTTTCCCAGAATCAGGGTCTTTTCCAAAGAGTCCCCTCTTTGCATCAGGTGGCCAAAGTATTGGCCAAAGTAAAAAGCCTTACTAAAGTATATTTGCTCCCCTTCCTCTGCCTTTTCTTCAGATTCCACTGATTATGGATTCATTTCTATAAGACTACCCTCCCTCCAACTTCAGAGATTAGTCACCAATCCAGACTATCACCTGTGCTTCTGACCAACTGACTATAGATTGAAGGTTGCAACAATTTGCCCCATCCCCTCATCTTGGAATTCAGATGCCAATCACAAGTGAAGGTTGTTACCTACATTTGTGACCAACTGGCTGTAGATCANGCCCAGCTCCTCTGTGGGCCTTCCAGCCCTCCTGCCCACCCACCCCATTCACACTGGGGCTCTGCTGAACAGAGGGGCCGCGTGTGACTCCACCCACATCTGACTTTCTGTGGGATGGGACGGCCCCTGTGCCGTCATGGATGGGACCTGAGCTTTGCACCCTGTGGGCCTGGGCGACATCCTCACCCCTGCCTCCTGTGGCCTTAACAAGCTGAGACTCAGTCTTCTCATCTGTGAACTGGAGTTGAGAACGTAAGCCCCGTGGGTTCACTGGAAGGACGTGTAAATGGGAACAGCGCTCATCCCTCAGTGGAAACCCCTGTCAAACGCGGTCTCACCATCAGAAGGGGGAGAGGGCCTGGGGACACCCAGCGTGCACCTCATTGGAGCCCAGATCCCTCAGTTTCACGCCCAGCCTCCCCACGAAGTGTGACTTGGTGTCCATCTCTCCACAGCCCAGCGTCTGGCCAGATACCAGGAGGCAGACTCAGAGGAGGAGGAGGTGGTCCCCAGGGGGGGCTCGCTGCCCCTGCGAGGGGGCGCCGGGGGCCTCCAGAGCCAGAGCAGCAGGGTGCACCGGCGCACGGGCAGCCGCGCGGAGGCCCGGCGCGTCAGCATGCTGACCGAGCTCACGGCCTTCAGCAGCCCCATGGTGAGTCCTCCTGCCCTCCCGTGACCGCCCCTCGTCACTGAAGGCGTCTGCTCTTGCGTGGGGGGTTTCCTGTGTTCAGTCGGGGAGCGTTTTTCTGGACAGTGTCTGCTCCCCACTCCACGGAATCTTTCCTGAAACACTGGCACAGCCTCCTTCCCAGACTTCTCAGGCTGTGAACTGCGAGTGACCACTTGGATGGAGGAAGCAAAGGAAGTCCATCCTTCCCTACAAGATGAATACAGTATCAGGGCAAGATGACAGCTGTGGGAAAAAACCCAACTTAAAGAAAAAGAGTTTGAATTAGATGAGCCCAAATTCATCCCTTGCCTTGTCAGCCACCCAAACATTTATGGACCATTCTCTGGTAGGGAAATTTCCAGAAGTGCCTAGTGACAACCTCTGAAAGATCTTTCAGTGAGGGAGAATCTGTTCTCACGTGTGGTGGCCTCATTCTTTTATGTCCTTGGAAACCTATACAGAAGGTACCGTTTGAATCGAGGTCACCTAGACGCGTGGTCGCTGGTTGGTGAGTTTGCATGGCGTATGTGACAGGAAACTCCCACCCCAGGCAGCAGGGAGACATGCTAGAAATCTCTCCCAGCCTTTCCTGATACCAATTTTGGAGTCAGTATGGGTCAGAAATATTTGAAATGTTCCAAAAAAGTCAGACATGACTTGGTAACTAAAGAACAACTCTCTGACCTAGGTAGTTACTGATTTAGTGAAGAACTTCTGTGCACAGAAGCTTATCAGTACATCATTTACATCAATAAAACAGTGAAGAAATACACCCAGTGATAAAGGAATGGGCAAATAAATTATGTCTGTTTTGAAGCTGTTAAAAAGTATGTTTTCAAAAGTCTGTTAAAGGCATGGTAAAGTTGAAGCAATATAAGGTCTTTGTAGAAATGGAAACTGTTATTTACGTATAAAGTATTTTGACTAAAATGTAAATGTATATAAAAAAAGATGAAGGAAAAGCAGAGAAGCATGTTTTTCAAAAAGTATGTATTACTATGAGGTAGTGTAATAGAGACCCGCTACATTTTCCCTATAATTCTCTTATTTCTCCAAATCTGTCTGAGTAAGATATGTTACTTCGTAATATATATTCCTGGAGGTATTATTTTATAAACAGAACATATGTACCTTCTTATATATAAAAATATGTGCATTTCATTTGTAGAGTGTATATTCTTATACAATTAAGATGACATACAGTTTGTCTATAAAGTAGTGAGTATGTGTGAAGTGCAAGCCTGTTTATAGCTTCTGGTAAAATCGAGGTGCCCTAAATACTCAAGCATCAAAGGAACAGTGGGCCGGTCCCTGGGTCAGACTGACCCCCGGCCTCTGTGTCCTCCTCAGGAGAAGGACATAACACCCGACCCGAAGCTGCTGGAGAAGGTGCACGAGTGCGGCAGGTGCCTGGCCTCTGCGAGGCACCAGGAGCACCCGCTGGACCACCTCTCGCCCGAGCTGTCTGACGTTTTCGACTTCTTCATTGCACTCACCATCTGCAACACAGTGGTGGTCACGTCCCCGGATCAGCCACGACAAAAGGCAAGTTCTGGAGCTTCCCTCCTGGAAGCCCACAGAGGCCTCGGCCTGGATGCGGTGTCTGTCTTCCTGAGAGGGAGCCTGGGTCACCGTGCACCACTCTCAGCTTTCAGGGGTGCACTGAGGGCTTCAGACAGGGCACACCAGTCCCGCAGCTGTGTGGGGACATCCCCAGACTATAGTGGGCGGACGCCAGGATTGTGGTCAAGAGGGAGAGGATGGCCAGCCAGAGACAGCTACCGAGCCTGGGGTGAGATGGGCACAGAGCGTCCAGGTGGGGCTCGAGGCGGGTGGGGCTGGGGGCTGGCTGCCTCCATGCTGACCAGAGCCTCAGAGTGCGGAGGACTTGCTGGGGCCCAAGGAGGAGCTGCCTGGACTTGCACTGTCACTATAAGCCAGGCCCCTCCTGTGTCTCAGACTCCCCTTCTGGGATGTGGGGGCAACGGTGGGATTTAGGGAAAGGTCTCAGAGTAGGGTTTGGCACACAGGAAATATCCGTGATGCTAATAATCCCTTTCCTTATCGCTAAAGAAAAGTCTTCCCGAGGAAGATGCTGAGTTCAGGGCCTGGCTTGCATGACAGCCCATGCCCTGGCAAGCCCGGATGGGGGCACCTCTCTCAGCCCCTTGCACAGGCTGCCCCCAGCTGCCACCCAGCACCAGGCTTGCCCTGGAGGCCCGTAGTAGTTGCTTGTTTTGGTCCCTGTGATGGTCTGCTGCTGCTGATCCATGATGGAAAACGCAGAGCTAACCGGGTAAAGCTGAGAAGACGTGTTGAGAGCCCGTGTTAGCAAGCAGCAGCGCGGTGCGCTTCTGTCTGATTCACCGCAGCCCTGGCAGTTTCAGGGACTCATGCTCCCCAGCGCCCCCTAGGGCTCAAGCGCAGAATCACGGTCACGGGCCTCAGCAGAGCGCTGCCTGCTGGGGGCGGCTCAGAGGGCGTTTGTACCCCACTGTTTAGGGGGCGTTCATCCCCGCTGGGCGAGCCCAGGAGGGTGTGAGCCTCCCCGGTGGGAAGTGTGCATCCTCATGGGGTGACTACGGCACCCACTCCCCACCTGACCGTGAGCAAGGAGCCTCCTCAGGAGAGCACCCTCCACACAGCCCGAGAACTGCTATTTCTGCTTGACTGCAAGGCAGACACTCAAGGCATGATCTGTCCTGATGGTCCCAGTGAGCAGGTGGCCCAGTGGTCTCGGGATGAAGGTCCAAGCCTGGGGCCCAGCTCCTCTGTGGGCCTTCCAGCCCTCCTGCCCACCCACCCCATTCACACTGGGGCTCTGCTGAACAGAAGGGCCGCGTGTGACTCCACCCACATCTGACTTTCTGTGGGATGGGACGGCCCCTGTGCCGTCATGGATGGGACCTGAGCTTTGCACCCTGTGGGCCTGGGCGACATCCTCACCCCTGCCTCCTGTGGCCTTAACAAGCTGAGACTCAGTCTTCTCATCTGTGAACTGGAGTTGAGAACGTAAGCCCCGTGGGTTCACTGGAAGGACGTGTAAATGGGAACAGCGCTCATCCCTCAGTGGAAACCCCTGTCAAACGCGGTCTCACCATCAGAAGGGGGAGAGGGCCTGGGGACACCCAGCGTGCACCTCATTGGAGCCCAGATCCCTCAGTTTCACGCCCAGCCTCCCCACGAAGTGTGACTTGGTGTCCATCTCTCCACAGCCCAGCGTCTGGCCAGATACCAGGAGGCAGACTCAGAGGAGGAGGAGGTGGTCCCCAGGGGGGGCTCGCTGCCCCTGCGAGGGGGCGCCGGGGGCCTCCAGAGCCAGAGCAGCAGGGTGCACCGGCGCACGGGCAGCCGCGCGGAGGCCCGGCGCGTCAGCATGCTGACCGAGCTCACGGCCTTCAGCAGCCCCATGGTGAGTCCTCCTGCCCTCCCGTGACTGCCCCTCGTCACTGAAGGCGTATGCTCTTGCGTGGGGGGTTTCCTGTGTTCAGTCGGGGAGCGTTTTTCTGGACAGTGTCTGCTCCCCACTCCACGGAATCTTTCCTGAAACACTGGCACAGCCTCCTTCCCAGACTTCTCAGGCTGTTAACTGCGAGTGACCACTTGGATGGAGGAAGCAAAGGAAGTCCATCCTTCCCTACAAGATGAATACAGTATCAGGGCAAGATGACATCTGTGGAAAAAAACCCAACTTAAAGAAAAAGAGTTTGAATTAGATGAGCCCAAATTCATCCCTTGCCTTGTCAGCCGCCCAAACATTTATGGACCATTCTCTGGTAGGGAAATTTCCAGAAGTGCCTGAGTGACAACCTCTGAAAGATCTTTCAGTGAGGGAGAATCTGTTCTCACGTGTGGTGGCCTCATTCTTTTATGTCCTTGGAAACCTATACAGAAGGTGCCGTTTGAATCGAGGTCACCTAGACGCGTGGTCGCTGGTTGGTGAGTTTGCGTGGGGTATGTGACAGGAAACTCCCACCCCAGGCAGCAGGGAGACGTGCTAGAAATCTCTCCCAGCCTTTCCTGATACCAATTTTGGAGTCAGTATGGGTCAGAAATATTTGAAATGTTCCAAAAAAGTCAGACATGACTTGGTAACTAAAGAACAACTCTCTGACCTAGGTAGTTACTGATTTAGTGAAGAACTTCTGTGCATAGAAGCTTATCAGTGCATCATTTACATCAATAAAACAGTGAAGAAATACACCCAGTGATAAAGGAATGGGCAAATAAATTATGTCTGTTTTGAGGCTGTTAAAAAGTATGTTTTCAAAAGTCTGTTAAAGGCATGGTAAAGTTGAGGCAATGTAAGGTCTTTGTAGAAATGGAAACTGTTATTTACGTATAAAGTATTTTGACTAAAATGTAAATGTATAGAAAAAAAGATGAAGGAAAAGCAGAGAAGCATGTTTTTCAAAAAGTATATATTACTATGAGGTAGTGTAATAGAGACCTGCTACATTTTCCCTATAATTCTCTTATTTCTCCAAATCTGTCTGAGAAAGATATGTTACTTCGTAATATATATTCCTGGAGGTATTATTTTATAAACAGAACATATGTACCTTCTTATATATAAAAATATGTGCATTTCATTTGTAGAGTGTATATTCTTATACAATTAAGATGACATACAGTTTGTCTATAAAGTGGCGAGTATGTGTGAAGTGCAAGCCTGTTTACAGCTTCTGGTAAAATCGAGGTGCCCTAAATAGTGAAGCATCAAAGGAACAGTGGGCCGGTCCCTGGGTCAGACTGACCCCCGGCCTCTGTGTCCTCCTCAGGAGAAGGACATAACACCCGACCCGAAGCTGCTGGAGAAGGTGCACGAGTGCGGCAGGTGCCTGGCCTCTGCGAGGCACCAGGAGCACCCGCTGGACCACCTCTCGCCCGAGCTGTCTGACGTTTTCGACTTCTTCATTGCACTCACCATCTGCAACACAGTGGTGGTCACGTCCCCGGATCAGCCACGACAAAAGGCAAGTTCTGGAGCTTCCCTCCTGGAAGCCCACAGAGGCCTCGGCCTGGATGCGGTGTCTGTCTTCCTGAGAGGGAGCCTGGGTCACCGTGCACCACTCTCAGCTTTCAGGGGTGCACTGAGGGCTTCAGACAGGGCACACCAGTCCCGCAGCTGTGTGGGGACATCCCCAGACTATAGTGGGCGGACGCCAGGATTGTGGTCAAGAGGGAGAGGATGGCCAGCCAGAGACGGCTACCGAGCCTGGGGTGAGATGGGCACAGAGCGTCCAGGTGGGGCTCAAGGCGGGTGGGGCTGGGGGCTGGCTGCCTCCATGCTGACCAGAGCCTCAGAGTGCGGAGGACAGGCTGGGGCCCAAGGAGGAGCTGCCTGGACTTGCACTGTCACTATAAGCCAGGCCCCTCCTGTGTCTCAGACTCCCCTTCTGGGATGTGGGGGCAACGGTGGGATTTAGGGAAAGGTCTCAGAGTAGGGTTTGGCACACAGGAAATATCCGTGATGCTAATAAAGGTTGTTAAAACACCAGCATTCTCAAAGTGGTTGAGAATCAGTGGCAAGTTACTTAAGGTGGTGGAAACATAACAACACCCAAGTTGGGTTTTGCTTGGATTAACATCAAGATTTTCTCCAAAGAGAGGAACGGTTCATGTGTGAAAGGCGCCTCTTTAAGCCAAGCGCTCCTCCAGGTGGACCCATAGGGAGGGTGCACCTAAGCACGGCTGAGCGTGTACAGCCAAGCAACTCTAAGTGGACACATGTGAAGGTTCCTGGGCAAGCGCACGCCATAGGCCTGTCTCCTGACGTCACCCCCGACTCTCCCAGGCCCCTTGCTCAGTTCAGCCCTGCCAGCAGATTCTGCTGGTGAAGCTGCTGGAGGGTGACGAAAGGAGAACAGGGACCTCTTGCCTGTCTGCGGCAGCGGCAGCAGCATGTTTGGCAGCAGTGGGACCCCTCCAGGCTCTGCTCACACCTCACTCACCTGGAGAAGCCCCAGGGGCCCAGTGGGTCTCAAGCAAATGGGCTTTGCCACTGAGAGACCACAGGCTTGTGCTGCCAGCCCTGGGTGGGCCACTTCCTGCTGTAGATCAGCTCTCAGCAGCCTCCGCATCCACCAGGGCCCTTCCTCCACCCTCTTCAGCTCCTCTGGAGCACTGTGCTGAAGAGGCGTCTGGTTTCTAGGCTAGACCCTACTTGACTGACCCAGGTGGTGTTGAAGTTACCGAGTAAGTAAGAGAAACTCCAATGTGACTGAACAGTGTTGTGCCCACGGTCACATATGCGTGAGCTCCATGCAGGGAGCAGACTCCTCAGACTGCATGTGAACATGTCTCTAGGAAAGATTCTTTGGGGTTTGGGAAATTTTGTGTAGACTTAAATTTTTTATGGACGTAATTCCAAAGAATGTATAAGTTTTGTTAAATGATTTTTTTAATTGGAAAAAAAAAAGGCAAGGTTTGTTCCAGGCAGTGGCAGGCCCACTTCTGGGAAGTTTCTGAAGAGCAAGGGAACTGCCATGAGGGGACAGTCCCAAAGTCTAGTCTTGGGCATCACGGGCCACCCAGTGCCTATGCTACAGTCAGTCACATTCTGAAAGAAAGCATGTAGCAGGATCTGTGTTGAGGTGCTGTCGAGAGCCAAGGGGTGGTCTCAAGGAAGGCATGCTGGCTCTGGTTGCAGTTTTCAGGGGGAAATAGAAAATCCACCTTCAGCACCTCCTGGGGAAGTGGAGGGCAGCCCTGTGGGGTTTGGGGTGAGNCTGTGTTGAGGTGCTGTCGAGAGCCAAGGGGTGGTCTCAAGGAAGGCATGCTGGCTCTGGTTGCAGTTTTCAGGGGGAAATAGAAAATCCACCTTCAGCACCCCCTGGGGAAGTGGAGGGCAGCCCTGTGGGGTTTGGGGTGAGGCCTCTGGGGAGATGCCTCACCTACCTTCTGATTGCTGCCCTGCCAGGTGAGGGTGCGCTTTGAGCTCAAGTCCCCGGTGAAGACCATCGAAGATTTCCTCCGGAGGTTCACACCCAGTCGCCTGACTTTGGGCGGCAGCAGCGTCGGGAGCACGAGCGCAAGCGTGGCCACCAAGTCCGCGCCAAAGGCCGGCCTCCTGTCCACGCTGGCCAACGACGGCGCGCTGCTCAGGCTGGAGGAGAGGCTGGGCGCCGGGGCCCCACACCTCGCCAGCAACGGCTACAGCAGCGCGGCGGACGGCTGGACTGCAGAGCGCTCTGCAACGGGGCCGGAGCCCAGGCCGGAGCTGCGCTATGAGGCCGAGAGTCCAGACGAGGCAGCGCTCGTGCACGCCGCCCGCGCCTACAGCTGCGCCCTCGTGGGCCGGCTGCACGACCAGGTGTCGGTGGAGCTGCCGCACCTGGGCAGGCTCACCTTCGAGCTCCTGCACACGCTGGGCTTCGACTCCATCCGCAAGAGGATGTCGGTGGTGATCAGGCACCCCCTCACGGAAGAGATCAACGTGTACACCAAGGGCGCCGACTCGGTGGTCATGGACCTCCTGCTGCCCTGCTCCACAGGTACCTGCACCCCGTGGGCAGCTCCCCTCTGTGGGGGTTCCCGAGAAACCCAGCCCCTCCCCACAGCGGAGCTTCGCCTCTCTGGGTGGCCTTTTCCTGCTCTCAAGGGTTTGGGCTAGAATGGAGGATGGGGGAGGATCCAGCAGATGGGGAGCTTTGGAGCCTGAACTTGCCTCAGAAGTTCTCTGAGGTCTGAAATTCCTGCAGGTGAGGTCCTGCATCAGGTCTGACTCTGCGGATGAAGATTAAGAATGTTTAGACTAGAAGCCCCAAAAGGCTCCTTTCTGCCTCTCCTTGCCTGGACCTGGGGGCATCTGTGAGGCCCTGGCCATGATTTTTAGCCATCTGTGGAGTGACTTCAGCCCACAGTAGGGGCTGCTGGCCTCTGGGCAACTTTGGGCCAAGAAGTTCCATCTTGGCCTCTTTTGTACTAGTTTGACTGAGTCCAAGCTCGCTCTGCTCACCATGTGACAGGCCAGTGAATGAGAGAGAGGAGATGTGGAGGCAAGGAATATGACTTTATTCAGAAAGCTGGCAGACCGAGAAGATGGCAGACTAATGTCTCAAAATAACCATGTTGTCAGGGCCTGGATGCCAGGTTCTTTTATAGAACCAGAAAGAGAAGCAGTAAGGAACTAAAGTCGAAAGGCAGAATAGAGAGAGAGAGAGAGGAGAAGTGAAGTATGAAGGGCCATTAGTCTTGCAAAAAGTCTCTGGGAATGGCCAGTATCTGGGAAGGGATGTGTTAATCTCTTTTTTCCTTGCATCCATTCACCAGTGGGCAGGGTCAGATTATCTCTCTTGAGCTGAACAAAGACGCTTTAGTTTACCAGTCAGGCAGAGGGGCAGGGTCCTCTGGAGGCAGGCCATTATGTATGATTTTAACATGTGACAGGCCAGTGAATGAGAGAGAGGAGATGTGGAGGCAAGGAATATGACTTTATTCAGAAAGCTGGCAGACCGAGAAGATGGCAGACTAATGTCTCAAAATAACCATGTTGTCAGGGCCTGGATGCCAGGTTCTTTTATAGAACCAGAGAGAGAAGCAGTAAGGAACTAAAGTCGAAAGGCAGAATAGAGAGAGAGAGAGGAGAAGTGAAGTATGAAGGGCCATTAGTCTTGCAAAAAGTCTCTGGGAATGGCCAGTATCTGGGAAGGGATGTGTTAATCTTTTTTCCTTGCAACCATTCACCAGTGGGCAGGGTCAGATTATCTCTCTTGAGCTGAACAAAGACGCTTTAGTTTACCAGTCAGGCAGAGGGGCAGGGTCCTCTGGAGGCAGGCCATTATGTATGATTTTAACAGCAAAAGCAACAAAAAGCAAGTCAAGGAAGTAGTTCCAACGTGAAGCTAGAATTGACTTTGCCTGCGACACTAGACTTCCATGTAACATTGAGGTTGAAAAAGAGTAGTTCAGAAACCACTGTTATAGAAGGTGGAACTTTGTTTAGCAGACGACTTGCAGAGGGGCTTCCCAGACCTCTCCACGTGGTCCTTCAGCCCAGTGTAGCCTTCCTGTTTGCACCAGCCTCCTCCTGTGGGTCCTGGGAGTAATTAACCACAGATGAGAAACAGAGCCTCCCATCCATTGCACCATGCAGCAAACGGGTCGAAGCATGGTGGTGCCCAAACCATGACATTGAAGGGGACACCTGAAAAATAAGCAGTTTCTGTGGATCTCTGCCTTCCTCTGGGAATTTCCAAGCAGCGTACCCTTCACATAGGTTTGGATAGGTCATAGCTACATACAGATGCCAGGCAATTTAAGATTTAGGATGTTCAGAGCCCCCAGTGGTTTTTCAAGAAAGGGGATAACTCTGAGGTGGTCCTGAAGTTATCAGTGACACCTTGACATTGTGCATAAATCATTCAGCTTTCACTTTGAGAGTGGGGTAGGCGGGGTATGGAGCAGTCCTTTATATGGTCAGTCTGCTATACTTTGCTCAGGTGATAAAGTGAGGGGGGCACATGAGTATCCAGTACCTTCTTCAGAGAGCTCACAATACTTTTACATAAAAGGCACATGGAGGCTAAGCTGACTGTGGATGGGCACTGTGCCAAATTCGCAGGATGTGGCTGCATCTCACCTGCCCTGGCAGTACATCGTGTGGGATTGGGTGGCAAGCAGGGACTCCATCCACCCATTACCTACAGATCTATGTTCAAATCCCAAGTCTACATTATGGGCTGGGGTAGCCCTGGACATGTCACTCTCCCTGTGCCTCTTTTCCCATCTGTACGAAGGAAATCAGGATGCTAACCTCCCAGGAACCCCTGTCCAGGCTTCAGCACAGTGCCTGGTGTGTTCCAGGTATAAAGTATAAGCTGGATCCTTTCCCTTCCCTCTGGTTTCTTCTTCTGAAGATTCACTTGCCTGGGATAAAGCCCACTTGGTCATGGTGCATGATTTTTTTAATATGTTGTTGGATTCTGTTTGCTAGAATTTTGTTAAGGATTTTTGCATCTATGTTCATCAGTGATATTGGCCTGTAGTTTTCTTTTTTTGTGGCATCTTTGTCTGGTTTTGGAATTAGGGTGATGGTGGCTTCATAAAATGAGTTTGGAAGTTTACCTTCTTCTGCAATTTTCTGGAAGACTTTGAGTAAGATAGGTGTTAGCTCTTCTCTAAATTTTTGGTAGAATTCAGCTGTGAAGCCATCTGGTCCTGGGCTTTTGTTTGCTGGAAGATTTCTGAT